GGCGGATGCCATAATGCGGGCCAAGAAACGGTCCCAATGAGTTTAGTCTCTTCGATCTCCTGTAGGCGAAAAAGCTACTTGCAGGCTTCTTCTATTCTCTTGTGCCTTGTAAGTTTTGGGGTTTCTTTGCCCAAGAACCTTTTCCGCTCTTTCCCTGCCAAACAAGAACACGCTTACCCAAGACGGCTGATGCTCCTGCATCCTTTACTTTTTCTAGGGACAGCATTTGCGAGATAGAACGTTCTAAAGCGATCTTTGGTGAAAATCAAATCTTTCTTTGTAAAGAACAAATTTCTCCCTGATTTGCACCTTTTTATTCAAGAGAGTAGATTGCACCCGCAATCTACTCTCAGGCGTTCTATCCTAAACGCTAGCGTCAGATTCCCACGGAGTTTGAGCTTTCCACGATGCATACTTCGAGACCGGTTATAACGAAGTCAACGGGAATCGGAAATCACTTCGCTATATTCGCTATTTCGTTTTAACCAACTTCGGTTATAACGAAGTCCAAAAGGGAATGGGGAATCGTGATCGTTTCGATATAGCCGCTATTTCGTTATAACCGACTTCGTTATAACCGGTCTCGACAGTATTTATTTATTTTATTTATTTATTTATTTACCCTCAAGGTACATAGTACATTTCAGAGGGGAGTGAACACACAAAAAAAAAAATGATGGCAATTAAATCAGTCAACTAAGGGTGCTGTTACAAAGTGCTTGTTTAAAAAGAGAAACGTCAGTGACGGAGGCAATTGAAGCGGGAAGGCGGTTCCAATCTGTTGACGTACGAGGTATGAATGACATACTGAATGCGTTAGTGTTGTAACTTGGTATGCCAACCTTATGAGCATGATCAAGGCGAGCTGAGCGATAAGATGGTTCGAGCATGAGGCACTGACGTAAAAGTGAGTTGTGATAGTAGATTTTATGAAATAAAGAGAGACGAGCACATTTACGGCGGGAAGATAAGTCAGGTAATGACAGAGTTATTTTCATAGATGTTACACTGGAAGTACGATGATAGTTAGATAAGATAAATCCAGCTGCTCGATTCTGAATGCTTTCTAATGCAGTGACAAGACAATGTTGGCCGGGATCCCACACAGATGAAGCGTACTCCAATTTAGAGCGGACTAGACACTTGTACATTATACGTTTTAGCGATGAAGGCGCTTGAGAAAAATTGCGTTTTAGGTAACCCAACATACGGTTGGCATTACCAACAACATGCTCAATATGGGTATTCCATGAAAGCTTATAGGTGATATAGACGCCGAGGTACTTGTAACTGGAAACAGGTGATAGGGGTGCATTGTTAGTGTAGTATGTAGGACATGTAGTGTTAGAGCGCGATACTCTCATGGACTTGCATTTATTCGTATTTAATTCCATTAGTCAAGCATCGCACCAGCGAGCAATGTAGTTAAGATCTGTTTGAAGATGAACAATGTCAGATTGGTCAGTGATCTTGCGATAGAGAACGCAGTCATCAACGAACAAGCAGACTGGTGAAGAAATGTTAGATACTAAATCATTAATATAAATAAGAAACAATAAAGGACCAATGACGGAACCTTCAGGCACCCCTGAATGAACAGACGCTAAAGAAGAATTGTTGTTGTTAACACGTACAAACTGTAGACGATTAGTTAAAAAGGCATTTATCCAATCGAGTATGTGAGGGTCAATATTCAAGACGCGGAGTTTCTGAAGCAGTAGCGAATGAGAAACTTTATCGAATGCCTTCGAGAAATCTAAAAAGACACAGTCAGTATAAGAGCCAGAGTCAAGAAAGCGATGAACGTCATGGGTTAAAGAGACGAGTTGAGTTTCACATGAAAATGATTTTCTGAATCCGTGCTGAGCCGATGTAAAGAAGTTGTTAGATTCTAAAAAGGTAGCCAAATGAGAGGAGAGGATATGTTTTAATATTTTGCATGGAACACTCGTTAGTGAGATAGGACGATAATTACATGGATCATGTTTGACACCTGACTTATGCAACGGAACCACCTTCCCGATCTTCCAGTCATTAGGCACAATACCGAATTCGAGTGATTGAGAAAATAGCTGATGAAGTATTATTGACGAATACATTTTGGTGTTTTTTAGAAATTTTGAATTAATATCATCAGCACCCGTAGATGATGACATCTTAAGGCCATCTATACGCCTCGCAAGTGGGCTCATTTTCGTCTCCTGCGCATGAGAAAGGAAGTAGCGGTGACGTCAGAACGCCGAGCCCTGATTGGCTGAGCGCGACTCCCTATCTGAGCGTCGACTGCTCCTTTGCAACGTCGTCTGCTCGCAACATCGTCTGCGTCTGTCTTACCTTTCCTGCGACTTTCGGAGGTGCAGGTCTTTACGAGCGAGCTCGACTTCGCCTTTCAGAGAGGGCAGAGGAAATAACAACTAGCAGACCTGCATCAAGGTTAGAAGTCAAAGGACTCACTGGCGAGGTGACCCGAGGCGCCGAGGTTTGTTTGCTACGAACCGAGAGGTGAGCCTGGTGTCCGCAAGTTCCCTCCCAAATACTTTTTCCCTCCTTTCGTGTGCGGCGAGACCCCTCATTCTTTAACGGCGTCGTCTGCTTTACGTCTGCTACTCAAAGCGATGGCTGCTTTACCTTTCCTGTGTGTGTCGGAGATTCACCGCCTTTTCACCGGTGAGAGTCACCGTTGCCTCGGGAAACAAGGATATAACAAGAGGAAGAAATTGACCTTTTAATCTAAAATTGAGGTCAGCGATCAAAGTATAATACGGGAAGGGTTCACAAGGGTCGCGCGGGCATATTCCATTCAGAACGCCAACCCGTCGTGGGCAGACGGTCGCCGAGTCGCGGAGTGCCTGCTAGGCCTAACTGCCGTGCTCACTTGGTCGCGTTCGGTGGAATCGTGGCCGTTGGAGCTTTTCCCCGGTGTTTGTGGATCCAGCGTTCTTGTTCGTCATGGTCTGTTTCAAGTACTTTTTACTTTTTCCTTGCTGCTTGAAGTCGGGACGCGTGAGAAGCGCACGTAGAAAAATTAACGTCCGTGGGTCGTCACGACCGCGACGCTGTCGGCCATGCTGACTTGATCGTAAGAAGTGCGTAAGACAGCTTCGGAGCTGTCGTAGGATTTCGCCGTTACCTGCGCAAAACTTACGAAAATTTCGTTTCGTGAATACGAATTTGTTCTTAGGTTTTGTCTTACGCACATTTTTGGTGTAAGATCGTTTCGTGAATCTGGCCTTCCGAAAGTCGCAGGAAAGGTAACACAGACGCGGACGACGTTGCGAGCAGACGACGTTGCAGAGGAGCAGACGACGCTCAGATAGGGGGTCGCGATCAGCCAATCAGGGCTCGGCGTTCTGACGTCACCGCTACCCCCTGCGCAAGAAGCATAGAGTTATTATAATGTACGCTAGAGGTTCAACTGGCGCTAGTGTGCTGTTGCAAATTGAAGCAGACAGCAAGCAGTCCGAAAATGACTTCCGGTAATGTATTTCTATGGAAAAAAGCGAGTGCATTTTCTCTCTGCGCTCGATTATAAGAGCAAATATCACGAATATTTCGTACCTACTAGACACATTAGAACGTTTCCCAGTCACGCAGATGAAATAATTGGTCAGTTACGCCGTTTTTATTTTAAAATCGTGTCATGAAAAACGGTGCTAAAACTGTTTGGTACATGTATTTATGTGCACTGTCGGACACTGTTAGCGCGAACACGGTGTCGGCGCTTTCCAGCATGGGTGATATACGTGCCAAACAAACGAAGGACATGTAGAAAACGTGGAAAACCAAGAGAGACGGCAATAACTACGCAGTAACACTGGATAAGTAACTCTTTGCGCTTGCAGACGATCAAAATAAATGAAAAGTCACGTAATATAGTCCGATTTGCAATAAATAAGTACTGGTTTATTCTTTCTGCTCGTGAATATGTGCGAAGATGCTTGTGGTGTGCTCAAAATATCATCACCCGCGCGCTCCAAATCTTTGCAAATAGGGGGAAGCCAGAGAACAGGTGCGCGATAAACATTGCCCGACAGAGGAAATAATAAGAAGACTCACCTTTCGTGGCCCACGTACTTTATTCTTTACGTTTCGAACGTTTTTTTAGCCACTCGTAAAGATGCACGACGGGGTTATTTTCTTATAGTGGAAGGACAGGCATATTAGCAATATATAAGCACCAACGGAATGCTGGCGGACTTTTAACACACTCTACATTCCTTTCGATCGTTATTTTGCTTAGAATCGTCGGTCGTTTCTACATACCTGCCATGGAACAGAGGTTTGGGCCTGAACTATAGCGAAGTATGACATCGTTCAGTGGTAAAAGAAAAATGCTGTAACTAAAGCGATTACACTTTCACAATAGTAATAAAGGTGCATACTATCCGGTACAACCGAAAAAACAAGCGTTATTCATGTTATTTTTCGGCGACGAGACAAAATTCACGCGCGTTTTCCCATAGGAATGCACAGGAAGACTGGAAAAGTAGACTGCATGCTGTCTGCTTCAATTTGCAACCGGAAGTCCCATAGACACTAGCGCCAGCTGAGCCTCTAGCGTTTATTATAATAACTCTATGGCAAGAAGCAGACGAACTTGCCCTCCGCATTACATTTGAAACGCCAACCACATCAAAAATGACAGAATTCATGGGCAAGAAATCATGCACTGGTAATGAAGGTACACCTACATTACTCTGAACAGAAAAGGACTTTACAAAAACATCATTCAGCACAGAGGCACACTCGTGGGCTTCAATTTTTTGCCCATCAGGGAAGATTAGAGATATATCACCGTTATCATTACTGTTTACAGTGTTCCAAAACTGCTTAGGGTTTACCGGTCTCGACAGTAGCTTGTTAACGCGTGCCAAAATGCACGGTTTTCTTTTGTCGGGAACGCCCGGTGTGTACACCCAATGTCAAACTTTGGGACCTCAGATGAACCTTCCGATAAAAGAAACATCTCTCTTTCCCCTACCTCGTCTCTGATTCCGCAGAAGATCCAAGAGATCGACATCGACAACTGGCAGAACGTCCGCGGTCCGAGGCCCTGGGAAGATGACAACGCGTACAACAAGCTCCTGGAGGAACGGCAGAAGAACAAGTCCACGTGACACTCGGATCTCCTAGGAATGTGTTTTGGAAATAAATACTAGTCCATTGTGGTTTTCTTGCACGCTGGAATGAGAGGATCAGACAGTATTTTTGATCGCTAATGGGGCGTCAAAAATGAATATAAATAAACTAATGAATTGAGTGCAATGAAACGTCAGACCCTATTCGTTTCTCGCGTAAATTACTGCCCCCTAGTATGGAACACAACCACTCCTTCAAATTTTGCAAAAATGCATTTATTGCGAAAGAAATTCGTTCGCCTGATAGAGAACGCGTCATGCATGCACTTCCTATACCCGAGACTTGTTTACGTAATATAATTTATTGCATGTTTTCAGTACACACGAGTGCAAACTTGTGGTCTCTTTCAAGTTAGGAATGAAAAGAAATGAGAATACCTTAACGAGCTAACAGCTCGTGTATTAATCTATCCAACTCGTTCGGTGGAGCATTGGACTGTGCCGTTTTGTCGTAATAATCATTCCATGCAATGACTAAAATACACACTCCCCACTTCACTCGATACGCTAATAAAGATTTCCTGGAATTGAAATAAGTTCAAACGTTTTCTGTTTGCGTATTAAGAGGGGGCGCACCTCAGAGCCCCATAGAGAATACATGAGGTTTTTCACCAAATTAAAAAAATTCTCACATAATAACGGCTGCGCGGATCTTCTTGAAAATTTCGGCTTTAAAGACATTGGATCATTATCAAGACACTAAGCGCAACAAATGTTTCATCATAAATTTAATTATATTCTTTAAAAAAATCATGAAAATGGTCAAAATCGGCTAATTCGGCACTCTTGCGTTCGGAGCGAATTTACAAAATTATCTAAATTCAAACATAAGAAGAATTGCGCTTAATGTCTTCTAAATTTATTACGGAATCGAATAATATTCAAATTATTCATGTAAGTCGATTTGTTCCGTAACTACAGCAAATATAAAGAACCAAGGTGTCGGTGCTTGTTTTCATCGTTTTTAAGGTACCTCTCTCTCCCGTACGGTGGCGCTCGCTGTCCACGAAATGCGAAATCGTCCGTTCGGAGATCGGCCGGATCGGCACTGTGCGAGGTGTTCTTCCGCGGCCGTATTCCGCGCCCGTATCCTGTTTCATTCTGCACGCCGAGGCGTCAGTGTGCGTGTCTTGCTTTCCTGGTTCTCGCTGGGTAGGTCTCCGTGTTTTCGCAAGTGGCAAATTCACCTTGGAGCTATGGTTCGAAGACAACCGTCCTGTGGCAAGCGGACCGCGCGGTGTTCCACAACCTCGCGGTCCGTCAACGCGTTGGGCTTGTTTCTACTTTTTTTTTTTCTTTTAAAAACGGGCTTTTTTTTTTTGACGCAAAGTTTTATTTTATCGTTATCCTTCACACAAACTTCCTTCGGCCTTGGGGTCGTGGAAATTGGGGATGAAGCGTGCACAGAGTAGATCGTTGTTTGCCTCCTTTTTATTTTTCACGGACGTCCTGTGACCTCCGTACGGTTCGTGGTCACCACAATCTAACGCGGGGAAAAACGGGTCGCCTGCTCTGTAGTCAGGGTATTCCTAGGGGAGGGTGATAACTCGCTGTTCTTCTGGAAATTCACATATCACCCAAAAAGGTGACATGGGTAATGATTACGGTATGTTTTTTTCCGGTGTTTATTTTTGAGCGAAAATCGGTGTATGTTTTTCGGTGCTTATTTTTTAATCACCAGTGTATTATGGGTTGAACGTCTTGTGATGACGCTAAAAAGCGTTGATAACCAAAGAAAAATGTGATTGGACAAGAACATTTCAAATTTCCAATTCTATTCACATATCCATTACGCTCTTCTCGTGGGAGCATCTATCCTGACGAAAAATGCCAAAGTCATTGAGCTGTGAACGCATACTCAGTGTACAATCTTTCGGCCTAGAGAGGTATTGCGCACGCTCGCTTCACAGCCCAGTAGACGAAGTTGGTGGCACCCAGAAGGCGAGTTCTTGAATGGTCTGTAGTAGGCAAAAGAAACAAATAACAATCAACGCATATCAGCTCTTCAAGCGAAGAAGCGCGTTTCTAAGGTCAATGGTTCCGGACGGCACTAATGTTGTTGGCGTTGTCGTAAGATGACGTCAGTTCATACGAACTGACGTCATCTTACGTGATGACGTGACACAAACACGTCATCTTACATGATCTCGTTACACGAAATGACGTCATCTTACGTGATCACGCTGCACGAAATGACGCCATCTTACGTGACCACGTAACACGTCATCTTGTAAGTCAACCTCTCCCCACAGCAGCGCTTTCCGGGCCCGTGCAGTGCTGTAGTCGAAAGCAAGCTCCCTATGGCAAGCGAAAGCTTCTGAAGTCTCACATTGAGAATACTCGCTAGCGACCGTCTGTGGAAGCTTCGCACGTTGAGGTTTTTGTCGAGATCGAGCCATCGTGTTCCATTAACTATAGTTGAAGTTATCGTTCAATAAAGCCCTAAAAAATGTGAATGTAGTTGGTGTAGACATCAAGATCTAATCAAAAATGCGGTTTGACGTCAATTAACGTGCATATACAAGTGTAGAAAAAAATGAGTTATTTGTGCATAGATGTTTAAAAAAGTGTTTATTATTCGACATAGGACTTTGGGAGAAGGATGTGTTCAGATTTTTCTTCATGAGCGCAAATATACCTGATGCAATAAATAGTGACGATTTCATCGTCCCAGTGGTGAGCAGGTAATTTCTTGCTCGAAACAATGATGCCATTTCATAAACCAAGTTCTGTGACATATGCTTTTCCAATGTCTGGTCACTATTTTGTAAACCTTTCAGTCCAAACGAGTATACTTCTGTTTGTTTTTGTTAGCTTAGGAGGGGGTCACAGAGCCTATCTCTTTGTCTTCCTCTAGGACAGACGTACAGAGTTATACCGCAACACGCATCTGTGGAACACACAGAGCTATCGCTCTCCTGTTGGCGGTACAGTAGCAGACGACACAACGCAGCTCCGTAGTCTATCGAGGGCACGGCTAGCCGCGGCCCGTAGCGCGACCGTTCAGACTTGGGAAATGGTTTTGAAGAACCGAGAAATGGTATCTTGTGTACAATAATCACATGTCGTTAGTATACTAGTATTCTACTTGCTAAGCCAAATAAATATTTGCAGCTTGTGAGAATATGTTTGCGTGACGATTTACCGTTCACACTCCTGACGGATGTTAGCGAGTCCTTCATGTTCGTGGCTCGCAGTTATCGGTACCCCCTCGGAGTGACTTCACCATATATATTTTTTTTCTTGCTTGCAGGACATCATAAAAATCACAAACACGCGAGAAAAAAAAAAATCTTATGAGTACGCGTGATTTTGAGCTTCGCAGCTCTAAAGATGCCCGGTAAATGTCGTCCAGTCTGTTTTATCTATACTCCGTTTCACCGTAATTTGGCAACCCTCAGTCGCGGAGCAAAGCACTTGACAGCTACTTTTACGAGCAGTACTATGGCACCTGCAGCGCGTCTCCGACTGGTGTGGTTAGCGTCTTATGCTGGCCATACATCAAAAGTGGTCCCGAAGTGCAACAAATGACGTCACAGAAGACGGAGTGTCACGCTGTTGCATCTCGCGATCGTGGCAATTCATCGTAGAAATGCTGGCGAAAACCACGAGGGAACACGAGTGTCGCTGTCGTGATGGCGTCCCAACGAGAAGCAATTATACAATTTCGACGTTTTTGTAATTCGGTAATTTAAATTACTGTATACAATTTTTAAGAAAATAAAGACATCATAACCAAATAGGAACTTCCGTGCCAAAACATGCAGTGCGAAGTGAAGACAACTACTATCTTTTTTTTTTTTCTTGATGTCCACAAAAAAAAAAAAAGGCTATGCAGCATCGATCCTACCGTTTTTTTGTTGTTTTTTTCGCACATTATGTGATGTCCTCTAACACGAAAGTACCGACGTAAAAGCGCTGTAGAGACGATATAAAAACAAAAATTTAAGGGAATCGAGCTTTGTAGTAAACGGAAAAAAATTAATAATTAACGACTTTTTACGGTAAACACTTCACCTCTAAGTAGAACTTCAAAAAAGTGACGGTTACGCGCTTTCATGCCCATTTCAACAAAGTTGGGAGAACGATGTATTGCATCTTGTGAATAGATATGTGGAGCAGCATGTTTATGTTAGAGGCATTGTGTGTAATCGCTGCGCAGTACCTGCCAAAAGAAGATATTATTTGGGCAGTCTCAACCGTTTCCGTCTGTGTGTGCTACGAATACAGCAACTCTTTTCGTAGAAGAAGTGATGAGGAAATGGCGTGCCCTTGATGATACGATTGTGATTATGAAATAAAATTTTTAATCAGCCAATAATTGCGACCTGTCCGGTCGCCTGGAACCCCGACAACAACTATCGTTCTCTGGAAAGTTCATTCTAATATTTACACGTTTTGTGGAGTTCATCGAGCGAATAAGAATGTTCCAACGATGAGCTAAACCTACACGAGTTCCCGAATCCAACTCGGCGCTTTTGAATTTTAGCGCCGTAGATAGTTCTGCGAACAGAGTATACTTCTGTGCAAATATTCGTCTAACAGTTTTGCAACGTTGGAAAGCATCGGAATGATTCAGAATCACTGCGGAGTTGATACTCGGGAAGATAAGACGGGCACTTGGGAGAAACGGACTGTGGCATTTGAGACAGGGGCACAACCGGGGGACAAACGTGCTACAATCGCATACCCTTCCAAGGTCATCGCTTGGGCGACCGCGCGCGCGCCCAAGAAACCTTTCTTTTTAGGGGTGGTGGGGGAGTGGAGGGGAGTGGTGTAGGCGCTGATTGTCTTCCTCCTTTGTGGCTTTTGACACACGCAGAACGAGACTGGCAGAACAAGCGCATGATTCATTTCTTTCGATGGAGGCGTTCTGTCTGTGTATGCGAACATGATTTTTTTCCCCTTTTAGTAGTTAGTTGTTCTTGCCTTGACTCGGGTCCCAGTGGGTGCGTTGTCGTTGTATGCCCACTATTTTTTTTTTTTTTAGTTTATGGTAGTTTTTGCGCTGATGGGATATCAAGGTAGACAAAAAGTAAAAAAAAAATG